AAATATACTCCGTGCACCTCAAATATATGAGATATGTTAGGTTGCCTGTGACTTGCTTTATCTGTGAGCACGTCAGTACAGGGATTTTCTTCACCTTGCTGCAGCTCCCACAAAGTATGAGCCCACGTGTATGAAAAGAAGCAAAAGGGAAGCGCCGATGTTTATCGTCATGAATGCTTGATTTGATGGAAATGATTATATCGACGGAAAACCTAGCTGAAGTGTCCGTGCCGGGAAATCGGCTGATACTTTTATGTTTTGCGTATAACTACCACATTGCATTGTCCTCATGGTCCTCTGATTAGACATCAGCTGTTCATCTCGGCGGTCAAGGCGCCTCATCCAGACCGCTTATCTTCCTAATAATCCTGTGAAACTCCTCCATCTGCACCCACCAGTGCCTGTCGCTCGTCGCCGACCACATCCATCCTATCCTCGTCCCTTTCCATGCTGGGGCTGGTCACTTTGGGACGCATCGCCGGCGACGCCTCCATCAACTCGTATACCGGATCTCCTTTTCCACCCAGTCTCTCTCCAGCTGCTCGCCCAGCATCCTCGGCCATCTCCCCATCGTCGTTCTTTCCCCCAAGATCCTCGCTGCCATCCCTCCAGCCACGAGGTGAGGACGTCTCCTCCAGAAGGTGACGCCTGTGCCCGTCCTCCTCGTGCTCGTCGAACTCGGCGAACAGCAGGGCCATGTCCTCCTCCTCCTCGACCTCCGTGAGCCCTTGGCGCCCGAATACTTCCCCGGCGCTTCCCCCCATGCCCATTCCCCCTACTTCCGCCAGAGCTTGCACTAGTAGGTCGTCCACCGGGGGCGGAGATACCCCTAACCCCCCCGACCCAAAGGGCTCGGGAGATCCGGGTACCCTTTCCTCGCCCGTCTCCACAGGCAGGGTCACCCCGTTCCCTTCCTCCTCCTCCAGCTGACTCAGGCTCATGACACGCGTCACAATCTCCGATAAAATTGCCCGTGCCGGCCCCCGGACGGCCGCAAACTCCGCGGCGTCTAGCTCGAAATGCGTGCGGAGGGACGTGAGGATGGTCTTTGTGGACGTATCGTCCAAAGAGATCCCCGCCAACATGTCCTCCAGGTACGTCGCCATGGCTGCCCGCGACACTGGAAGTCGCTCCCCTGCTCCCTCCCTCGGTCCCTCCCTCGGTTCCTCCTTTCGTCCCCCGTCAGACCATTCCCCCTCCCTCTCCTTGTCGCTACCTTCGCTGCCAGGGGCCGTGGCTTCAGTCCAGGCTTTCGAAGCTGCTGCCGCCGCCGCACGACGTTGCCGAGTGGCCTTGGTCACGAGCTTTTTCCGCGCCGCCAACGCCTTCCGCCGTTGACGCTTCTTCTCCTTCCTTCGTTCCTTCTCTTTCCGCGCCTCTGCCCTGGCTTCCTCCTTCTGCCGGGACCGTGCCAGCTTCTCCGCCGCTCGCTCTTCCCGGGCCCGCCGCCGAAAATTCCTTCGCGCAATTTCCTTGATCATGGCCATCACCACCGACTTGAGCACCGCAGGCTCGTGATTCACCAGCCCAAAGTCCTCCTGAGCTGTCCTCAAGATTTCAGATACCCGGATGTCCTGGTACTTACCCTCCTCAAAGTAGCGCACGAGGAGGGCTCGTAACTTCTCAGTACCCTCGTGGTCCCCCTCCAGCCGGGCCCGTTTCACACGAGGCACCCCGTCCCCCGCCCCGACCGCGTCTTCTCCATTTTCGGCCTGGGAATCCTCCGTTTCCATGCCTTCCGAGGAGGAAGAGGAAGAACTGCTACTGCTACTACTGCTGCTACTACTACTGCTGCTGCTGCTGCTGCTCCCGAGGCTCGCGCCCGTGCGCCGTCGCAAGTGTCCAGAGTGCTCCCTCCCATCGTTCTCGGCATCGAAGGCAGATTCGGAAGAGGGCTCTCCGTTGTCCGACGCTTTCTTGGTCTTCTTGGTACTTTTGGTCTTCCGTTTCGCCGCTCTGGCCGCCTGTTTCGCCGCTTGCTTGGCCAGCTGCTTTTGCTTCTTCTCTGTCTCCTTCTCGATGCGCCGAGCCTCTGCCTTTGCCGCCAACTCCGCCGCGATCCGCTCCCGCCGCTCCTGCCGCCGTCTCTCCTTCTCTTCCACATCTTCCACCGCCCCCAAGTCCTCCACCGCCACCTCTCCCTCCTTCCCTCCCTCCTCGCCGTCCCTCTTCCTTCCAATCCCGTACATCTCCTCCCGTCGCCGAACCCGCTCCGCCTCCTGTCTAGCCTCCTCCTTGGCCTTCTTTCGTCGATATTCGGCCATCTTATCCTCGTAATCGTTTCCGAAGTTTGCCGCCTGTGTGTCGACGGACGGGAAAGGGAGGCAGTGGGGCAGAGGAATAGGCACAGTGAGAGAGGAAGGCACCCGGAGATGGCGTGTCAGGTGACGGACGGTGGCCGAGCATAGGCATGCAGTTGAAGCCCAATCTACTCGTGTCCTCTCACATAATTCTTCCGCCCTGTCCGACGTACCAAATACCGCTCTCGCTCCGTCTCGCGCATGTCTTCCAGGCAACGACGCACACGCGCCTTGCCACTTAATTTCTGAACGCGATCCAACAAGTCCTCAAAAGCCAATTGCGGGAAGAGCTGATGAGCCCATTCTTTGTAGCACCTCAGTAAACGATGCAAGTCTTGAGCTTCGTGGCCTTCCCCGCGAAATGCGCACAGGGAAGGGAAGGTCGTGTAGATACGCTCAAGGCCTCGAGGCCCGATGACATGGTCCTCCGTGAAACGTGGCCGGCGTTGCTTGGGCTTAACATTGCCGACAGTAGCAGCTTCAGCGTCGGCTTTGTCCATTAGAGAGGATAATATTTCATCATCCTCCCCAGCACCCATGTTCTTCCCGTTGTCTTCCTCGTCCATATCACCTTCGCGCCCGTCCCCTCCCTTGTCGGAATCCACGCTGCTGCGCGGTCCTGACGAAACACGAACCACATCAGCCTCCGACTCATCACTGTAAAGGTCATCGTCCAACCTTGCCATGCTGGATTAGAAAGGAAAGTCCCTGAGGCAATGAGCATTGAAAAGGGAGAAAGAAAGGCATCAAGGTGGGGGCGAAAACGAACCCAAAATTGCCACGCAAACCAGATTTGTCAGCAAGGAGCCCCTAGACCAAGCGCGGTAGAAAAAATGCATTCGTATGGCAGTACGCCCACGCTGGTCAAGGCTTTGGGGGGTCGCGTTGGTCTGATTTTTCTTGGCGAGAGGGCGATGCCACCCTTTTATCTCCACATTTTCCCGCCCAGGATGTCTCCCACCGCACGAAAACAAAAGTGCAACCTCACGCGGTCAAGTCCTTTCCACACCGGTACGACCTCACGCCTTTTCCTCCCACACAACGTAGTGCTGGTCCAGTCCACTGATTCCGACGTGTTGATGGCCGTGACTGTCGCGCGTGGCTGGCCATCAGGGGGAGGGCCCGACCTCCCCTCCCTCACGCGGAGGGGAAGGAGTGGCACCCCTTCCTTGCATTTTCAAAGGAAAAAAAAAATGCCACAGGCACGGACCGCACTGAGCAAGCTTATACTCCTTAGGGCCATGTTCGTCACGATATTAGCAGGCGTGGATGGGGATGGACGTCGCTTTGATAGGTTCCACTTCCTCCCTCCCCCCCGACGCGCACCAGGCCGGCTTCTTGCTATACCTTCTCCACGCACGTCTTTCGTCGCTCTTCCCGCTGCCACGCCGGAAGATGATAATGCGCCCAAGGTATCTGTTGGTATCAACAGCGGCATTGCTGCCACAAATTTGATCCCTCCTGCTCCCTCTTCATCCCCTAAAGAGGCCAAGGCCCTTGTCCGAAGCCCAAGGGAGGGGCGAGCCTCTGTAGGACGCATAATACCGTTCACTCGCGGGGCAATAATGCGGCACAAACAAGCCAGCCCCCGTAGCAATCCCTCCCGGCCCGCGGAAGATGAAGAGCGTCGAGCTGTGTGCGACCTATCGCCCGACCTGCCCACCTTCCACACCGTGATGAAGGTGTACGCAGACGAGCGGGACCCTGAGGGGGCGGAGATGGTGCTGGGATGGCTGCTGGCTCGCGGGTTGTTGCCAGATGTGGTGACGTACACGACGTTGATGCATGCGTATGCCGGACGGGGTGACACGGAGGGTGCAGAGGCTGTGTTGCGGAGGATGCTGGAGGGCGAAGGAGGGAGGGTAAGGGAGGAGGAGGTGCTGCGCGTATTGCCCAACGTCATGACATACACGACCCTGATGACAGCCTACGCTGCGGGGGGGGACGTGGAAGGCAGCGAGGCGGTGCTGGAGCGGATGGAGGAGGCGTGCATTGCGCCCAACGTGATGACGTACACGGTCTTGATGACGGCCTACACCCTCCGCGGCGACGTGAAAGGGGCCGAGGGCGTGCTCCGGCGCATGATCTCCGCCTACGTGGCCCCCAACGCAAACACGTACACCACGCTCCTGCACGCGTACACGGTGAACGGGAACGCGGCGGGCGCCGAAGAGGTCTTGGCGCGAATGGAGGCAGCCGGCGTCCTCCCCACGGCCCTGACCTTCGCCACGCTGATGACAGTCTATGCGGCCCGCGGAGAGGTGGAGTCCGCGAAGGGGGTCTTGGCCAGGATGGAGGCGGCGGGGGTGGGCCCCACGGCCATGGCCTTCGACACGCTCTTGAATGCTTACGTCGTGGCGGGGGACGTGGGCGGGGCCGAGCAAGTTTTGCGTCGGCGGGAAGCGGAAGCATACCCGGATTTCCCCCTGACCTACAACACCTTGATGAACGGGTACGCAGACAAGGGAGACGTGGCGGGGGCGGAGGGGGTGCTGGCGCGCATGCGGGCCAAAGGCGTTGGGCCCGATGAGACGACGCTGTCAACCTTGCTGCACGCATACGCGGAGGCGGGAGACCCCTTGGGGGCGGAGGCGGTCCTGCTCCGTGTCCAGGGGAAGGGGGGAGAGAAGGGGGACGGGGGAGAGTTTGCGGGGCTTTCGCTGACGGTCTTGATGTTTAATACCTTACTGAGTGCCTACGCGGCGCGCAAGGACGTGAAAGGTGCGGAGCAGGTCTTGGCCAGGCTGGTGGCGGAAGGGGAACGCGCGGGGGAGGGGGGGAATCTGAAACCGAACGCCATTACCTACAATTCGCTCTTGACCGCCTACACGAATGCGGGGGACATGGCGGGGGCGCAGCAGGTGTTGAAACGCATGGTGCAAGCCGGGCTGTCCCCGGACACTTACACGTTCAACACCCTGATCGCCGCCTTCGTCGCCCGCAGAGAGGTGCGGGCCGCGGAGAAGATGGTGGCATACATGCAGGAGCACGGGGTGCTGGCGGACGTGGTCACCTACAGCCAGCTTCTCCAGGGCTACGCGACCAAGGAAGGAGACATGGGGAAAGCAGAGGAGGTCCTGGAGCGGATGGCGAGGGACGGGGTGGCGCCAAACTCGTACACGTACAACTATTTGATCGAAGGCTACGTGAAAGCGGGGGAGATGGACTGGGCGGAAGACGTCTTGGAGCGGATGCGGACAGTGGGGTTGGCCCCTACGAGCATGAATTACTGCGTCTTGATGGACGCGTACACACGCAGGAGGGACGCGAGGGGGGCGGAGAAGATCTTGGACCGGATGAAGAAGGAAGGTGTGCAGGCGAATGTCCAGGTGTTCACGACGCTGATGAACGCCTACGCCAAGCGCGGAGACGTGGAGGGGGCGGAGGGGGTGTTGGCGCGCATGCTGGCGGTGGCGGAGGAGGAAGGAGGAGGTTCGAAGGACTGCGAGCCGAACGTGCACACCTACAGCACGCTCATGAACGTGTATGCCCGAGCGGGTTTGGCTGCGGGGGCGGAGGGAGTGCTGACACGCATGACGGCGGCGGGCTGGGCGCCGAACGTGATCACATTCACCACCCTGATGACAGCCTACAGCCGGGCCGGGGACCCCGAGGGAGCCGAGCTCGTGTTGAAGCGCATGGAGGCAGCGGGGGTGTCGCCCAACGTCTTGACGTATAACACCTTGCTGAGCGCCACGTCGAGGATGGGGTTGAGGGAGGGTGAGGTGGAGGAACGGCGGGCCAAGCGTGTGCTGCAAGTCTACGATACCATGCGACGGAGCGCGGGGAAGGGAGGAGGGTTGGAAAAGGCGCCGGATGAAGCCACGTACACGGTGCTTCTGACCTGCTTGTTGAGGTTTCCCAAGCGCTTGACCAAAGAAGTCTACAAACTCATCCTGGAGGACTGGCGCCGCTTGGTCCCTACCAGGAATCGCTCGGATAGAAATTATCAGTCATTTATAACGGTGCTGGCCGCCATGGGGGACTGGGAGGAAATGGCCACGGTCTTTCGGGAGGCCCAAGCACGGTTTCAAAAGGGGCAGCTCTCGCCAAGGGAGTATTCTAAGGTGGAGGCGACGTTTCGTGAGAAGGGAGGGTATTATGTGAGGGATGGGGAGGAGAAAGACGCAGATAGTAGAAGCGCATGACCGGTTGAACGACGCGGGGATCCGTAGGGTTCCACGCTTTCGTGATAATGATTCCTTTTGCCAACGGAGTGGCGTGTGTAGGAAGAGGGAGGGACCTCCGGTCGAGGTGCTCATGGGCCGCGACGAGGCTTGCAACATGGTGTACAGGGCCCGTATCGACATGTATATAGATAGATCATTAAAATGACGGAGTAATTTTGACAGAATGCCGCCCTTACTTGGCGGCGCAAATTTTTCATCTTTTTTGCAAGGCCAATCAATTGCAATTAATTGCACTTCGCATCAGAAAATGTGCGAGTAGGCAGCAGGAGGTTAAGCGAGCTGCCTCTAGGAGGTTTCGACACCTGTATAGGTCCATCCGCAGCTTGTTTTCTGGGTGCGTGAGGGCGTGCATGCCAGACCATAGCTAGCACCCCGAAGTGTCATTATTTCTTCTGTGAGAAGCTTCGCGAAGTTTGTTTGTTGTGAGCGTCATCTGTGGGGCACGCTGAGAGGTGTGTTCGCCGTTTTCCTTTTATTCTTTGAAGGCCAACTGACTAGCATTTCTTACCATATACTCCACAATTATTCAAGGTAAATTATGATTTTTGGTCCTGTCGGCAGATCGGTCTCCGCGGTGGCCACCTTTGCGCTGCTCTTTCCCGTTTCTGGAATCGCTTCCTCGCATTTAGCGCAAGTTTCTACATCAAGTTCCAGCAGCACTATGGAAATGTCATCTGCCGCTTCGAAACCGCGGTCTATCCTGAATACAAACACGAACATGCGACATGTTGGGATGTCATCGTCCTCGTGTCGCTTTTTGAAGCGTGTCCGGGGTGGTGCCGCTTCTCCAAAGGCCTCTAGTATTCCAATCAAAACCACTTCTCATGTGACAGCAGGCACAACCGAAGCTCACCACGGCTTGAGCGTTACGTCTCTGGCCATTAACATCATGGCAGATTTGTGCCCGCATGGTATGCTACCGCTTGCATTTGGGATGGCTTCCGAGGGTGGCACGGGCCTTGTGCCCGCATTAAGTTTGCTCGTTCTCTTCGGTTCGCTCTCTGCGTACACGCTCATATCCATAGCCCGTGCTTGCGAAGCCACCGGAGAGTACTCCTTTCGCGGAATATGGTCTCGCACTCTCCACCCTTCCACGGCCTGGATTATTGACGCAGGCATCACTTTTCTCTGCTTCGGGTGCTGTATTTTCTACTCCGCCTTCATCGGCGACCTCTCCGCAGCCCTCGCCCAGGCCCTGGGGGCTCCCGCCGTCCTGCACAAGCGGTGGCTGTGCCTTGTCGCACTCCACATCTTCCCCCTCTGGCCTTTGTGTTTGATGAAAAACCTCTCGGCCTTGCAATACTCCTCCATCGTGGGTGTGTTTGGGATCCTCTATACCACTGCCTTCGTGGTCAAGCGACAGTGCGACGGGAGCTACGGCCCCAGTGGGCATTTCCATGCGTTGATTGATGCAGTATACCGTCCCCAGACCCCTTCGTACTCGGCGTTTGAGAAACTTTTCCGCCTTGGCCCCGGCGCGATCTCCCTTATGAACATGGCTTGTGTGGCGTTCACTACCCACTACAACGGGATTGCCTACTACACCGAGTTGAAAGACAGGAACCTCTCCCGGTACTCGGGGGCAGTCGGCCTGGGCTTCCTCGCCTCCTTCTCTGTTTTCGCCCTCATGATGGTCTTCGGCTTCGGCACCTTTGGATTCGCCGCGCAACCCCTCCTTCTCAACAACTATCACCGCACGCAGGACGCGCTGGCCACAGGGTCCCGTCTGGCCACGGCCTTTTCTATCATGTGCGGCTTCCCCCTCATGTTCGCGGGACTCAAGACCGGTTTCTTTTCCCTCTGGCACAGCAACGTTGAGAGCGCACGCCGTCTGAGTCCCCGCCTCCGGGTAGCTTTGAAATCCGACACGGTCATCGCCACGGTCTCCTCCCTCCTTCTGGCAGCAATCTGTGGCATTGCCTGCCTGTGCACGGAGGAAGACGTCGGTTTCGTGATCGGCGTGATTGGGGCGGTGCTGGGCACCAGCGTGGTGTACATCATTCCTGCTCTCCTCAACACGAAACTACTGGCGCGGGTCAAGGACACGGCGGTAGCCAAGCCCGAAAAACGCTTCAACCAAGGTCTGATCGTCATTGGCGTGGTATTTGCCCTCTTGGGGACATACATGGCCATCGATGACCAGTTTGGGATATTCAGTGGGAGAGGCCCCAAAGTCCACATGCATTGAGGCCGGCAAGAGGCAGGCACGTTTGTCTTCTCTGCGAAGGCAGGTTCCCCTATTGATCTGGGTGACTGAACGATATGGTCCGTGGATGGGCCCGTGACAACACCAGGAATGGTTTGGGAGGTGGGTGCGAGAGCACAATGAATGTCGTGTGTCCAGTGGACGGTGCAGAATTTCTGAGAGAGTAAATGTGAAGGAGAGGGGGATATAATACAGGTCGTAAGGCTTGTACAGAAAAAGAAACACATTTACAACCTCAGCTAGTATGCCACATGCGAACAAGAGGGCAACGCTGAGGTCTTCAAAGCGCTGACAGTCAAGTGCAAGCTTCATGTGGAGTCGTTGGTCTATTTTTGGTTCTGTGATATAAATTTGTCTGGATGCAGTCCCGATGCTCCTATGGTCGGCTAGGGAACTTTGCTTCTTCCAAACGCTTGGGGCTTTGGCACATTCTTGATTTTTCACGCGATTCGGCCTTTCATATCTAGTCAAAGAGTATCACCTCTGGCTTTATTCTCTATCGTCTGTCGCTGGTGAAGGACATCTCCTCTGGCTGTACTCTCTTTTGTCCCCCGCCTTCTCCCCCACTAGACGCCCTGTCCTCCCCTTCTTCCGCCTCCTGGCATTCCACGTTCAGGCACGTTTTTGCAAGGCCCCGCCCGCGAGCAGCCATGCACTGGAAATATTAAAAACAAGCCGTGCTCCCGGTTGCTGCCAGCCCGCGTCCCAGCAGTCTTTTGCTCCTATACCTGCTGCTGCTCTTTATACGGCCCAGACTGCCCCTCCACACACCCCACTCGGTCCATCGACAGCCCCGCCCAGGATGCGGGCGCTGCAGTCATGGGACATCCGCCCGCCTCTGCCTCCGGACATTCTATCTTGGCTGCTCCCACCTTTTCTCCTGTGGGTCTGATTCCCTGAGCCTTGGCCAACACCTCCGCAGTGGCCGGAGGCGAGGTCATCCCTCCTTCCAAGGTTAAGAGGTTGTCTAAGACAGGGCTGGCCACCACGGGGGGTGGCTCGTGCATCCTTCCGCTGTCCTCTCTCCCCGCCACCAGCCCCCGCTCCGGCCCTCTCTCCCCAGTGCCCGGCTCAGGAATCCTTGTCGATCCCCGGTTCCCAGCCTCCTCCTCGTCACCTCCCCCGGGCTTTTTGGGCCTTCTCGCCTGCTCCTGCTCCTCTCCTTTGTTTTCTTCCACCGCCACCTGGCCGTTCCGAGCCTTTCCTCCTTTATCTTTTTCTCCTTTCTCACCGTTATCCACGTTCGTCCACACGGCCCTGATTGCGGCCAGCGAGCCTCCCACAGAAGGCCCCCCTGGTATGCAAATCCCAGATCCCACCAACGCCGCCGCTGCCGTCGCCTCCCTAGGCGCCAGAGCCGCAGCCTCCACCACCATGGCGGATCGAATCCGTTGCTGTTCTTCCACGTACAACGCACGCGCCTCCGCCGCCGCCGACGCCGCCGCTTTCGCAGCGGCCTCG